ATTGTAGGTGATTAAATTAGAAAAAATATAAAAATATATTGTATATAACATCATTTGTTTATTTATATTTTTGTTCCCAAAAGGTTATGAGAAAATATCATTGAATTCACATATAGAATATTTTGAACATTTTGTTCAAAATATAGAAGCTGGAAAAAGAGATAAATGAGTAGTAGCATTATTTATTGGGATAATCTATTTAATATACATATATATTTATTTATACAATCAGCTTGAATCATTGCTGGATTTAAAACCATTTATTGGATGTGCACCACAACAAGTTGATAAATTTTCACTTTAAACCTTATTCGGAAATTTTAACTAATGCCAAACAAGCAATTTTAAATGTTTAAAAAACCATCAAAATAAAAAATAATTGATAATAGAAATTTTTAAAATTGTGTATATATATGTGTGTGTGTGTATTTTTTTTTACAATTGTAATTCTATTACTCATTTTTCACCATGTTGTGTCTATCAACATGTTATTTTGCAACTTTTCCTAATAATTTAACTTGATTAGCAACATCTTTAAGTGCACTAAGGACTAATCTATTGCCTTTAACAAAACCATATAGATGATATTGGAGATTGGCTTCTCAACAAAATTGCATCACCAATGATTGACATTTTCTAAGATTGTGTCTTGGTATTCTTGGAAAAAGATGGTGTAACATTTTTCTTGAGAATGATTCCTTGGTACCAAAATGTGATAGTGTGATTTGTACATGCAACAACATTGTTACACTATGCGATATTAAGATGTAGATTATTCCTATATAAATATTTGGTAGAAAAGATAATATGAATAGGTACCATGATCAGAATGTTATCATGCCACATATTTCCAAATTTCTAAATAGAACATTTTCTTCATTTATCAGGAAATTGACCGACAGGAAATAAAGATTAAATTTACCAAAACACAAGATTAGGTAATAGGTGAAGTGTTGGTAAGAGATCAGAAGTTTTGCTATTGGATCAATTTCCATTTTCCTTTTATAAAAAGTTGAATATAAACCTCCAAATAGTTTTGCTGTGATGGCAAAAAATGGTATATGTTGAATGTTGGGATCATGTTCAGGATGATTTGTTACAATATGATGAACATAATGATTTCTTTTCCATCAAACCACCACAAAATGATGAAATGAACACTCTGATCAGATTATCAATAACTAGGTTGTGTGTTATACCACTATGTCCTGTATCATGTACTGTGAATGCAAGTTGGTGTCAAAATGCTCCAAGGAAGATTGCACTTAATATATTGTAGGAATAATCATTGTTTGGGTTGTTTAATACTAGATATCATGCTGAATAAATTAATAGTATGTATTTTATAGTCTCAAGTAAATAATTAAAATAATTACATATGCACATGCATATGTATGTTTGCATATATTATCATCAATAAAATAACAATTAAAATAAGATACATTATTCAATAAATTCAACTAGTGATAATTAGTAATTCATGTTCCATTTTTTACGTTAATAGATAATCAAATGAATTTATTCTTTTGTATGTATGATGTACTTCCATTGCATTCAATTGATATGAATCATCATAAGTAAAACAGTTTGATTTTGTTGAAAGAACAATTTATAATTAATATTATTTTATGTTAATTATTTATATAAATGTTTACTTGACATTTTCAAATGCTGAATAAATAAAATTTTATTAAATTATAACTTTACTAACACTATATTCTTTTTACATATAAAACATAAGAAATTAGAAAAATTACAAGTGATGTCTAGACTCCTCCAAGTAATACTGAGAAATAGGCAGCTTTTACTAAGTAAATGAAACTTTACTAAATAGTAAGTAACTTTAGACTAGTAATAATTTGGAGTGAATAGCTTATACGAAAGAAATAATACCTTTTACTAAGGGATGAGTATCAGTTACTATGGGATGAGTATGGTTTTCGAAGAAATTGAAAGCTTTTACTAAATTATTTGTTTGAAATTTTACAAGAAATTAAAGGGGTTTATAATCTATATATAGAAAAATTGAGCCAATTTGGACGTGTTTTGCAACTTGTATATTCAGTCGCCGATCTACATATAAATTGACATGTGATTCCCCTACCCTTAATTTGGAGGTATATACATTCAATGGCCTGATATTTCATTCATCAAAGTGTTTTAAATTTCCATCTTCATCCGTTTTGTCCAGTAAGATTATTAAATTCAATTTTCTGTTTTTCTGACTAATAAAAATGTTTGTTATTTTTATTTTTGGGGCATAGAATTACTATTATTATACTACCAAATTAGTCACATGCCTATATTAATAGCTGTTTTAAAAATCGTGAACACTAGCCGGTTTTTTTAATTAGTCACTATAAATTACGTACTACTATTTACACCATAAACATTAAATTTTAACGCATAAATAATAAGTGTTTTTGAAAGTGGTTTTTTTAATGATGCCAAAAATGCACATTTATTATTATCTTGTATTATAATAATAATATTAAACAAATTCATTAATTTTATTTCTTAAAGTTGTACACGCGATCTTTCTTATATATACATTAAATGAATAATTTAACATCAAATATTTTAATAATTGTTTCTCTGCTTATAATATTATTCAAAGCTGTTGATGCACGTAAGTTTGTATTTGTAAATTATTATGATCTTTACTGTTCATACTAAAAGATTCTTTATTTTATGTTAAAATAGAATTTAATGGCTATACTATTATATTTATTAACAATATTTATTTTATTTTATTTATAAACAATAATATACTTTTTTAGAGGGATCATGTTGCTACTCATTATCGTCTGAATTAAAACAACCTCCCGATTTATTTTTGTTAAACCTTACAGCATCTCACGTAAGCTCAAAAAAAAACAATAATATATATATAGCTCAAATTGGACTTCCTCCAAAATATATAGTACAAGACAATCCATCATCTCCTCTTTCATTTGTTCATTGTCAAAAAACTGTAAAAACTGGCACGTTAGAACCTGTTTATGAGTGTGAATCAAGAGACAAGGAAATTTTCTTTATACAAATCCTAGTAAAATTCCCACAAGAAAGTAACAATGGTACAACTAATATGCAATTGCCTGATGTAAATGTCACTATATTTGGTGATAGATGTGAACAAAGGGCTGTTTGTCAAGATTTGGCATCATTAAATGAAAATCAGAATTCTGATAAAATTTCACTGGGTCCAATGGGTACTTGGCCAAAATATTCCGTTATAATAGGTGGTTGTATTTTAGGTCTGGCATTAGTGGGTTCTCTTTACCTGGTTTATAAAAGAAATAAATCAAGTGAAAGCGGTGATTCCCATACAAGAGATAAGCCTGGGAAAAAAGATTCAATATTTTCTCCTAATTCACTTTTAGATTCAGGCGATAATCAAGATGACGACAATAATGATAATCATAGACCAAAAAACACTTTGATAAATCTAGACGGTGATAATAATATCAGTAGTAGTAATAGCATTAATCGTAGTAGTGGAATTAGTATCGACAAATCAAGTAGACTTTCAAAACATAATAAAACTCACCGAGAATCCAAAATTAAACAACTAGAATCATATGTTGATGAAGGTGGAATTGTAAACACAAAATCTGTGTCACCAAGATTAAGTTTAGGTTCAGATAATCATGAATTTGTACCAGCCTCTTCTTCTGTTGTTATCGAAGTTGATAAAGATTCATCGTTGTTTACATCCAACAACAACAACAGCAGCAATCGTCACAGTAGTCACAGTAATAGATCTTCTAGAAGTCATTCTAACAGACTATCAAAAGTTGATCATCAGAACCTAACCTCGGCCAGGTCACGAAACATAAAAGGCAGTGGAAGCGATCATCGCGACGGAAAAGATTCGTTGAGTATTTCCAATTCCAATTCATCATCATCTAAAAATAAAAATAATGCCCCCGAATTGCACCATAAATTTTCTACAAAAACCCCATCACATGATGACAAAAAATACAATAACAATAAAGAAAGATCAAAATCATATCAACGAAAAAATAAATCTAAAAAATCACTGTCAAAACAATCTGGTGAAAAGGCGGCGAAGGAAGAAGAGGATGAAGATGACAAACCATTAGGACAAATATTATCTTTAAAAAATCTAAACGGTGAGAATAATGGCGTTAGTATTGTTGATGATTTTTTTGATTCAGTGTTTGATGAAACTTTAGCAGCTTATTCAGATTCAGATTCAGAAAAGGCTAATAGTAAGAATAGGATTGTTATTGATGGTGGTGAAGAAGAAAACACAACAAAAGACAAAAGGCTTAATAATGAAAAAGAGCAAATTATAGAGAGTGATGACGAAATACCTATTGGAAAATTAAAGAGATGAAATTTTCACATAATAATTAACTAATCAATATTTTTTGTAATTTATTAGTAGTAAATTAAATGTATTTATTAGTAGATATTATTATTAGTGAATTAAATTAAATTATTTATTTATTTATATTATTATTAATTCAAACATTTTAAATCAATAATTATGTTATAATGGCATGCTGTAACAAAATCAAAGTGAACATAATGTCACAAAAAAATTGCAGTGTGCCAACAATAAAGACTATTATTCCATATTAATATGTACAAATAGTAAATAGTAAATTTGCTTATAATTAAATTTAACCTACCAATCATAAATCAGACCAGGTAGGTACATCGACGTTAACATAGTTTTCAATAAAAATTTCAAACAATTTCATTATATTGTCTTCATTAATCTTCTGGATAATAAAGGTGATCGGTCACGTGAAGGTTTTTTAAAACTTTTCTTCAACATGATAAACAAAGTTACCTATATATGTGTGTGTGTAATATTCTTTGCCTTGAAGTTCTACTGGCATAAATGTAGACTAGGTCATTCCAACCAAAGGATTTTATCATTGATACACATTAATTATTAGTTTTTAATGTCTTCCACAGGGGGTCAAATTTTTATCAAACCCCTCCCTCCGCTGACGACATTTGTTTTTTTTGGATGAAGTTAAAGGAGAAAATTTCTTTCAAGATGAGCAAAAAACTCTTCTATTTTATCTTTACTGATTCCGTATTCTCGAACTTCAACTTCTCTCGCTGAGGCTTGCAACATCGTAATATCTGACTTGTATAAAGGTAGACTTGATTCAAATTCCTTTCAATCAGTTGTCTTTCTTTTGTTTTCTCGTATTAAAGACTCTTTAGTTTACTCGCTACTTTGGGATTAATACAGTTACTATAATTATTATTTTTGGGAAATCATCGTTTTTTATGCAAAAACTTACAACCTCGGTGCAGTTTGGATTCATTTAACACTTATATATATATATATATATATATACACTATATAGAGTTTAATTAATTTTATAACAAACTATTATTAATCAGAGATTTCTTTCGTGTTTTTTTCTTCCATCTCAAAAAAGACGGGATCAAAAATTTTCCATCGAGTTTGTAACGAGCCGAGGGCATCTTTCACATGCGAGTCTGTTTGCATTGACCATTCTGTCCTAAATAAAAGCCTATTGCCAGTTCGTAACTCAATAGCTTTGGATATGACCTCTGAAATTCTTGGAGAAAGTATTCCACCAAGTGAAATTTCGCATAAAAGTATAGAAAGTGTAAAATACACACAGACTTGCGTTCAGCAAGAGCTTTACTGGAGCCAGAAAGTAATGAATATTGCGAATTTATGAAGGTTCTAGGATTGGACGAGATCTCCCCGGGTTCAAAGTATCTACCAAAATCGAAATCTGAGGTTTCGATTAAGCGAAATACACCACATTCTCATTCTTCAAATTCGAAGTCAAATAAATCAGAAGGCCACGAAGATATATTTGCTCCGCAGAACCTGGCCATGATAATAATCAAAGCGAGGAACGGAATGGACCGATACGAAAGAAGTGGAGAGTAAGAGGTGGAGACTCGAATCTCCGATTCATCTTTTGAATAAGCAAATCTCAGAGGTCAGTACATAACACGAAAGAAATCTTACATTGGTATTATTTATACAAAAGGATACAAAAATGAGTCAAGGATATTTGATCTAACGATAGTAAATTTGCGCAAAATAACTTTTAGATTGAAGAAACAGAATGGATAAAATTAAGCAAGTTATTATAATAAAAGTATCATTTCAAGTCTAGTTGATACTCAAATCCAAAATATTATAAACCATTTCTCCAAGAATCTGCTCAAAATATTAATATGAATTCTTCAATTGGATGGATGTCAAATTGGAACGTACACGTGACTTAGTGACAATAAATTTTACCTAGTTCACAGTCTCGTATGTCTGAATGACTGATCGATGATAACTATGAACCTGTTCTGAACCTCGACAAGTCAAGTGGCTCCATTTAAGACACTTACATCTCTGAGTTATCCGAGAGCGAAATCAATTCATCAAGGTAGTGAGTGGTAGAAAAGTATCCATACTTATCTTTGCGTGGTAATACAGAGAAACATGATGATTACGAATTCGCAGGATCATTACCAGTGTGCGGAGAAAAACACATATATTTGATGGATGCGATGTCTGAAAAAACAAAATCTAATCAAAAAAAAAAATAAACTTGCGCCAAAAATTTCGAAGTTTAATCAGTATCATTACGATAACCAAATTCTGTGTGAGATCTTTTATTTTTTGTGATTAATAAATTGAAATTCTTTTACATCCAAATATTTTGGTAAGATAATGTATTGATTAAATGATGCATTCTTGCGTAACCAGTTGTTTATTATTATTATTTAAATATTGTTTATTATTAAGCGCCAATTTTTGAATAATAAACAAATACAATGTTATTTATTATTTTATCTTATCTATTCATGATTAACTAATTAAATTATCTGATTGTATATCTTCTCTTATCTTTTTTCACTACAAATAGATTTTTTTTTTTTTTTAAACAAATAAACATTTCGTAAAAAAAATTTTCCGGCTTTAGAAATATGAAACATTCAAATTTCCTTACTAAAAAAATCTTTAGAAATTCGAATTTAAATAATATCAAAATTTTTAAAACATTTACTACTACTACTACTAATACTAATACTACCACCACCACCACCACTACTACACAACAACAAACTGAAAATTCTAAACATCCATCATACATTCAAAATTCCAAACTTCGTATACAAGTATTAATATCATAAACTCTTTTTTTTTTCTAAAAAGTAAATTCTTGTTATTTATTTAATAATAATAATAATAATAATAATAAACGGTCATTTTATATTGATTGTAAAGGCAAAAATCGCAGAACTTGATAAAAATAGACCTTTTGGCAATCCATTGACCGATCGTTTTGAACGAAGACACACATATCTTCGAATTTCAATAACAGAGCGATGTAATTTAAGATGTAAGTTGAAATAATTTTTTCGATTAATAATCGTCTATAATTGTCTAATTTACTATTTTGACAATAGGTACTTATTGTATGCCAACTGATGGTGTTGACCTCACACCTTCCAACAAACTTCTAACTACCGAGGAAATCATACGAATTGCAAAAATATTTGTCTCCCAAGGCGTTAATAAGATCAGGCTTACAGGCGGTGAACCTACTGTAAGAAGTGACATTGTTGAATTAGTTGGTATGAGATATTTTGTTTGTTTTTATGTTTAAATTTATATAAACATGTTCACATATATATATATATATATATATATATATATATATATATATATACTATTAGGCGAATTGGGGAGGTTAAAATCACACGGTTTACAGACGATCGCTATGACTTCTAATGGAATAGCATTGAAACGGAAATTGTCCAAACTTGTTGAGAATGGATTGAATCTGTTGAATCTTAGTTTAGATACTTTGGATCCATTCAAATTTCAATTGATCACACGTAGAAAAGGTAAACAAATCTTATATCTATATAAAGAAGTTATATATTGATTAGGGGAAAAAATAAACTTTTAATTTGAAAAATAAAGGCCTTGAAAGAGTTTTGGAAACAATTGATCAAGCTATTGAATTGGGCCTTAAACCTTTAAAAATTAATTCGGTGGTTATAAGAGGAATAAATGAAAATGAAGTATTAGATTTTATAGAGTTGACGCGAAACAAACCTATTTATGTAAGGTTCATTGAATATATGCCATTTAATGGTAAGGCGATATATATATATATGTAAATCTTATTTTCAAATAAAAGATACATTATTGATAATTCTTTATTTTGTTTATTCCAATTAAAAGCTAACAAATGGAATGAGAAAAAATTTATACCATATAAAGAGTTATTGGATAATATTAAATCCAGATATCACACCATTCGAAGGTTACCTGATGATTTAAATGATACTTCAAAGGTTTTTTTTTGTTTAAAAACAATGATTTGATGAAAAGCGTCATTTGCTCATTTTCATTCTGCCAATTATTAACTTGATGGATTACCTTTTGTTTTGTTTGACAATTGTTAGGCATATTGTATACCTGGATTTACTGGAAAATTTGGATTTATTACTTCCATGTCAGATCATTTTTGTGGAACATGCAACCGATTAAGAATTACCGCAGATGGCAACTTGAAGGTTTGTTTGTTTGGAAATACAGAAGTAAACCTTCGGGATTTATTACGACAAAATGTTTCTGATCGAGAGCTATTGGAAATTGTTGAAGTGGCTGTTAAAAATAAGAAAAAACAGCATTCTGACGCATTTGAATTGGCTAGAACAAAAAACAGACCAATGATTCTAATTGGTGGATGAGGAGGAAAAAATTTTTTGTTTTGTAAGAAAATTTTTAATGATTATTGACAAAGGCGAAGATTAGATTATTAAATTATTCGTTCGTTCATTCGTTAATTCATCATTTGTTTATATTAATATTTGTAATTAATTAATTAATATTTAATGAACATGTAACAACAGCATTAACATTTGTTATTTAAAAAGTGGAAAATCATATAACGAATGGCTGGTTATTTTGTTAAATTTCCCTGGCCAGGAGTAGTAATCCCCAAGATCATTGTTTGAACCAAGGTAAACAGAACCCACTGGCAACCACACTAGCTGTTTTCTTTACCAATATTGAATCTTCTTGCAATATAGAGGAATTGCTGATAAGTTGCCCATAAAATCGGGATGAAAGGTTGTTCAATGTAATAAGGTGATCGAATTTTTCAGGGTTCTGTATAAATCCATCTAAAAATTTCTGTGTTACATTGCTTGACGGCCAGTTATAAATATGAGAGAAGCAAGATATTGCTTTTTTTTTATAAGAGATAATTATTGTAAAAATTTCAAAGAAAATACATTCCCTTTACATAAAAAAACATTTATAAAAAACAAAATCTTTTTACACATCAATCCAATTTCAGAATTAAAAAAACGCGAATTGATAAATAGTATTACTAGGTTAACTTCATATAAATAAATAATGATTAATTAACCCATTAACTCTTAAATTAAAAAACTTTTCTTTTACCATTAAAAAGTCCAGAGATATTAAATAAGATCGATAAGCCAAGGACAATTTATTGTGGGTTAGATCCAACAGCCAAAAGTTTACATTTAGGAAATTTATTAACTTTAATTGGATTATTACACTTTAACATTTGTGGACATCGTATTATAGCTTTGGTAACTTTTATTATTAATAATTTTTATTTTTATTGTATATATATATAATATTTTTTTTAAAAAAAAAAGATAGGCGGAGCAACAGGATTAATTGGAGATCCGTCAGGTAGAAAATCAGAAAGACAAACATTACCAATATCAACAATAAAAGAAAATGTTAATTATATTGAAATACAAACGAGAAAAATCTTTAATAATAGTAGAGATTATGCAAAAAAACATGGACATGAATTCAATAATAATAATCAAAATGATGATGATATTTTAATACTTAATAATATCAATTGGTTTAAGAATATGCCAGCTTTAGATTTATTAAGTGATATTGGGAGATATTTTAGAGTTAATAATATGTTAATGAAAGAAAGGTAAAAAAAAAATTTACATTATAAAAATCATCTATCAATATCAATATCAATCAATATCGATATCAATATAAATATCAATGATATATAATATTTCATATTAGTCAATTAATCAATTAATAATTCATTATCAATAAATAATTAAATAAAGCGTCAAAAATAGAATGGAAAATGAAGGAGGAATAAGTTTTACAGAATTTTCATATCAAATATTACAAGCTTATGATTTTTGGTATCTTTATCATAAACACAATTGCACTATTCAGGTAAAATAACAATAAATACAATATAAATATTTTTTTGTTATTGAAATTACATATATTTACTTGTATGTTTATAAAAGTTGGGAGGAAGTGATCAATGGGGAAATATTACATCAGGGATAGATTTAATTAATAAAAAGAGATCTGAGAATATTAATAATGTTGATGTTTATGTTGATAAACAATCAACTGCTTTTGGTTTAACAATGCCTTTATTAACAACTTCATCTGGTGAAAAATTTGGTAAATCAGCTGGTAATGCAATTTGGTTAGATGATGAATTGACAACTCCTTATGAATTTTATCAGGTAT